CACCTACCATAGCCAGTGGATGCGACGCTCGAGCGTCGGAGAGGGCACAGCTGTGGCCCACATCCACTTCGTGATGTGCGAGATCGTGGGGCTGGCCATCCAGGTCGATCAGTTGGACGTCTCCAACCTGATGAGCTTCGAGCTCGCCATGCGCAGGATCTGCCAGGACGAGACGGCCGTTTCGCGCAACCCTCGTCACCCAGACTACGGCGGGCTCGACATTGTGCTGCACGCTCCGGTCTCGGAGCAGGGCCAGGCCAGCACGGACAGATTCACAGAGTGGGTCACTGCCCGCTTGAAGGAGCGCGCCTCGATCTACAAGCAGACTCGCCTCTGGAACGAGGAGCAGCGCGCCCTGCAGGCAGCCCGCACCTCGGTGGACCCCAGCAAGGGAGGCGGACGCGGCCGCGGGCGTGGCCGCGGCAAGGGCGGCAAGGACGACCAGGAGCAGGGAGGCTCGGGGTGACCGAGGATTTCCGGGCCGAGTCTGAGCCCCGAGCTCGGCCCGGCGCGGTCACCCAAGATCGGGGACAGCCTACCAGATGGAGGCCTTCAAGACGGAGGCATGGGGATCCCTTCCCCTTGCCGCAGTTTTCGCCATCTCAGCTCAATAAGATGGGTGGCAATTTCGAGCAGCAACAGCGGGCTTCTTTGGCACGGGCTTCGCTCAACCACCTCGCTGCTGCTCAGCCGAATTCAGATTCAGTTTTTCAGGCCCGCCAGCCAGCTCGGGCCCCTACCGCCGTTCAGGACTGGATTCTGGACAGCATCGTGGAGCGCGTCGACGCCGTGGGGCCCCCCCCGCCAGGCCTCGCAGCCGAGGGGGCCGCGCGCGAGCTGCTGGCCTCGAAGGACCTGTATAGCCAGGAGCCGAAGCACCTAGCGCCGTTCGACCTGACAAAGCTCAAGGTTGCCAAGGGACGCGCCCGGCCGCGGTCTGTGGCCAACTTCCTACCTCCGCTAGCTGGGGAGATGATTCGGAACCCAGCGCAGTACATAGAGAAGGATGAGGGGGAGATGGAGTTCACACGTCAGACAACTGATCCCATCAAGCCTTACTGGGATCCAGTGCTTCGTTCTAGCCGACTGGAGCGATGGAGGCTGTTCCGAGTGCTGTACGAGCTGGGGCTCATCACGTTCAGGCCCCGACTTCGCGCTCGAGCCGCCATATTTTTTGTGAAGAAAAAGAAGCCTGGCGAGAACAGGATGATAGTTGATGCGAGGCAGGCCAACGCCTGCCACCGTGCGCCTCCGACCACTCGCCTTGGGTCGGCAGGCGCCCTCGCGGACCTCGACTTCTCCGACGGGGACGGCTCTTTCGGCGGCGTCGGCAGCGTCGTCGGCTGGGACCCCCACGGGAAAGAGGCGGACGTCGAGGATTGCTTCTATAACTTTTCAATAGACGGGCTGGCTGAGTGGTTCGGTTTCGACGACCCGCTGCCCGCTGCCACTATCAGAGACACCTACGGCATCAATATTGGCTCTTATTGGGACCCAGACCTCCACAGGATGGTTGCGGCGACTGACGACGTCGTGCTGTACCCGTGCATGCGCGCCATGTGCATGGGCTGGTTTTGGGCCTTGTTTTTCGCGCAGGAGGCTGTATCAGCTATGACCTCCCGCGCCCTTCGGCCTTGCTCGACTCTGGAGCCGGCCATGGTGAGGGAGCACCTCCCAGCGCCTGACCTCAACGAGTCCGGGGTCATGGGCAGCGTCTACGTTGATAACATCACCGTCTTGGGTAAGACTGCCGCTGTGGCCCGTGAGGCCAGTGCCGCCCTTCGAGACGAGGCGGAGCGCTGTGGTCTCCCCATCACTTGGTCGTACCCCGACGTCGTCACCCATCTGGAGACGGTGGGGATCGAGCTTGATCTGAAGCAAGGGCGCCTACGCAACAAGGCCTCCCGAGTCTGGAGGTTCGACCTGGCCACCCGGGCGCTGCTGGCCCGGGGTAAGATGCGAGGTGAACACATGGAGGTCTGGTTGGGCCACGCGGTCTCCCTGCTGATGCTGGCCCGTCCAGGCTACGCCGCGCTGTCCGCCGTCTACCGGTTCGCGGAGGAGGCCTGGGGCGCGCGGACTGTCTTGCCTAGCGAGGTCAGACAGGAGATGCGCATCGTGGTCGGGCTGGTCTGGCTCGCGGAGGTCGACCTGGCAGCGCCCTACGTGCCGCACGTGTACGCCAGCGACTCCGCCGACCACGGGTACGGGCTCATGTACAAGAGGGCCTCGCTCGGCGACCTGCGCTCGGCCTTCCGCTGGAAGGAGAAGTGGAGCTTCAAGCAGCACCTCCGAGGGCCGCGCGTGGGTCTTGTGCCTCCGACTGATGTTGCCGACATGGGGGGGTACGGCGACGTGATCGACCGGTCCCTGGACTATGAGATCGAGCCTCGCTGTCAGTCTTCCTCGCCCTGCAGCGGCACGGCGCCCGCGACCGCCTTCGGCCAGTGGCTGCAGCGCCGGGCGGAGGAAGGCTCGCCGTCGGCGGGGGCCCACCAGCCGCGCCGCCGCCGCCGGGAGTGCCACGCCTCTTGGCGTGAGGGCGATCTGGAGGTCCCGCCACCGCAGGCCGGACCTCTTGCGCCACCGCTCCCGGCCGCGTGGTGCGAACCCGAGGGCTTCCGCCTGGTGGCGGCGAAGAGGTGGCGCTGGCCGAGCGAACACATCAATGTGAAGGAGACCCGTGCTGCTGTGATGGGCCTTCGCCATGCCTGTCGCGTCCGCAGCAACTGCGGACGCCGCTTGGTTTCTATCGTCGACTCCATGGTTTGTGTTGGCTGCCTGGAAAAAGGGCGGTCTAGCCGCTCAGCAGCTCTGAACGCACAGTGCCGGCGCGCGGCGGCCTACACGATAGGGTGTAGGGTGCGATGGAGACTTCGATATGTCAACACGAAGTACAATGTGGCCGACGCCCCTTCGCGTCGGTTTGAACACTCCTCTCCCGACAAAGGTCATCATAAACATATTCACGACGAAGCCTCAACAATTTCTACTTCTCCCTCTCCCTTGAGCACTGTAGTGGGAGTGGGCTCGCTGCCTCCTGGTCTCGGCCTCGCAGGGCATCCGTCCGCCGGCGCCGAGTGTGACACACAGCCAGAAGTGCAGGGTTGCGGGCCGCACGCTGAAACAATTCATCGGTCTTCTTGCCCGTCTTCCACTACAACACCTTCGGTGACCAGTCAAGCCGCCGCACCCCCTCTGCGTCTTGGGCATGCTCAACTTCTGAGGCGGGCCCAGCGAGGCCAGGGCTTCCTGGAATTGTTCTCGGGCGAGGGCGGGCTCTCGGACGCCTTCAAGGAGCTCGGCCTGAAGACCTTCCCCGGTATGGACATCAAGGACGGGGCCCACTATGACCTCCTAGATCCTATGGTGCAGCTCGTTATCTTACAGGGTATTCGAAAAGGGCTGTTCTGGTATGTACATATGGGTACCCCCTGCTGTGTTTGGTCTAGGGCTCGCCACGGTATGGTCAACCTCGAGAGAGCCCGACACAAGGAACGTATTGGTGTTGCTCTAGCTTTATTCAGCTGTCGTGTTGCCTACGAGTGTTCAAGACATGGAGTTTTCTGGAGTATTGAGAACCCGAGGACCTCGAGGCTCTGGGACTTTGACCCCGTTCGAGAGCTCACCAACCTTCCTGACGTGATTCAGATTTTTCTCGTGCACTGCAGCTATGGGGCCCCGCACTTGAAGCGGACTAAGATCCTCAATTTCTTCTTGTCGTCCCTGAGCTCAGAGTGCTCCAGAGATCACACGCACGTGGAGCTCAGGGGTTTCGAGACAGTTACGTTGCCATCTGGGGCTCGGGTCAGACGCAATCGGACCGCTGGAGCGGGAGCCTACCCCCGCGGGCTCTGCAAGGCATGGGCTCAGGCGGCCGCTCTGACCGCGCCTGCTGGCGCCCGCGGCGACCTGAACGCTGCTGACGGCGGAGACCTGGAGGCGCAGCTCCGGGATGCTTCGCAGCGGCCAGCTTCGCGTGCCCGAGAGCGCCTCAGGCCGGCTCGGCAGCGGCTCCAAGCGGAGCCTGACCTCGGGCTCTCTGCAGCCGCCGACCCAGACGCCCTCGAGAGCCGGTACGACCACCTCCGGCCGTTCATCGTCTTTGGTCAGGACTCCAACCTCGAGGCAGCCCGGAAGCAGGCGGCCCGCGCCAAGAGAGGCCCGAAAGGTCGCTGGCCGTCGCTGCCGCGCCTCTAAGTTCGTGGAGTCCATCAAGGGTCACACGTTCAAGTTCGGGCCCCGCGCCCCTGTCCCTGCTGATGGAGGCGTGGCCCGTTTTGGTTCCATCACCGCGGCCTCCTTGGAGCGGTATGGCGCCGCAGTTCGTGACTTCTTCGACTGGGCCACGCGAGGTGATGAGGACCTCAGGGAGGCACCCGAGTCCAAGATTGACCAATTAATGTGCAAGTATTTTGACAAGCTGATGAGTGATGCCAGACGCCCAGCTGAGGGCCGCTACGCTCTCTGGGGCTACCTGACTTTCTTCCCGCGCTCTGACATCGCCAAGTCTGCTCGCCTCGTGATGGCCAGGGAGGCTATGAAAGGCTGGACCCGAAGATTTCCTGGCTCGTCTCGCCACCCGTGGCCGCTGTCAGTTTTCTTCCTGTTCATGACAGTCTTTATGAAAGACAAGCACATCGAAGCCGCAGTAGCCTTAGCCATCCAGCTGGACGCCTACCTGAGACCCTCAGAGATCTGCGACCTACGGTGGTGCTCGGTGGTCCGCCCTTCGTCATCATCGTCGCGTCTGGCCCGAGGCCGCTGGGCCGTTGTTATCGGCAACTCAGACCTTGGTGAGACCACCAAGACAGGCGAGTGCGACGACACCGTGGTGCTCAACTCGCCGGGCCGAGACTGGGTCGGCTCTGTCCTCGAGATGCGGGCCCGGCGGCGCTCGTCGAGCTCGCGCCCAGAGGACCTGGTGTTCCCGAACCTGTCCTTGGCCAAGTATGAGGCTCTTTTCAGAAAGTACAGCCGGTCGGTCTTAGGCAAGACCGGCCATCTGACGCCGCGCGTTGCACGCCACTCGGCGCCATCCCATGATTTTCTGACTGGCGCTCGCAGCCTGAGCATGGTGCAAAAGCGTGGCAGGTGGGCTCATCCCAAGTCTGTGAAACGATATGAGAAGAGCGGCCGCCTCTTGCTTCAGGCTGCTCGCCTCCCGCCAGAGCTCGCAAGACGAGCTGCAGCAGCGGAGGCCTCCATTTTTCAGTGCTTTCAGGAGGCCCTCCAGTAATCAATGTCAGTATGGGTGCAGTTGTGCAAAGGCCTTTGCATTTTCCTCAGCGTTTTTTGCAATTGATATGCAAGCTTCGGAAGGAATGTTTTGCAGTGCTCGCCTGATGCATGTTGGAAAAACTATTCACGTCTGCTTCGCAGTGTCACTGGGCCAATGTAGAATGGACAGAGGTGTTTTTAATCTTTGATTGTTATATCTCTCAATTCGGTGAGGCCCGCTTGTTGGTCTGTAACCATTTCGCTCAAGTCTCCCTCCCTGTTTCACCCTCCCTCGAGGTGCAGTTGTGCAAAGGCCTTTGCATTTCCCTCAGCATTTTTTGCAATTGATATGCAAGCTTCGGAAGGAATGTTTTGCAGTGCTCGCCTGATGCATGTTGGAAAAACTATTCACGTCTGCTTCGCAGTGTCACTGGGCCAATGTAGAATGGACAGAGGTGTTATTGTTGTCGTTGTTTGTGTTGTTGTTATCGTTTTTTTTTTTTTTTTTTTTTTTTTTTTTTTTTTTTTTTTTTTTTTTTTTTTTTTTTTTTTTTTTTTTTTTTTTTTTTTTTTTTTTTTTTTTTTTTTTTTTTTTTTCCTCCTTATTCTTCTTCCTCCCCCCTTTCTTTCTGTTGTTGTTATTGTTGTTGTTGTTGTTCGTATTGTTGTTTTTGTTGTCGTTGTTGTTGTTGTTGTTGTTGCTGTTGACAGTTTTTAGTTGCGAAGGCCTTGCGGCCGGTGCCGCCGACACTGAATGGCGACGACGACGACGACGACGACGACGACGACGACGAGCGCTCTTGGGGGCCTCTTGGGGGTAGTTTGTGGGCCTCTTGGGAAGCTCTTATGGGGCCGCTTGGAAGCTTCGTAGGGGGCCTCTTGGGGCTTCCTGGGGGTCTTGGAGGGGGCCTGGGACGTCTTGGAGGCATCTTGGACGGTCTTGGGGCTATCTTGGGTGTTTTCGGCCGATATTTGGGCGACTCGGGGCCCTCTTGGGCCGTCTCGGGGGCCATCTTGGGCATTCGGACCTCAATTGGAGTGTTTTCGGGGTTTCTAGGCCGCCCGAGGAAAAACGAATCTGCCCCCCCCCCCCGGGACCCCCCCCGGGACCCCCCCCGGGACCCCCCCCGGGACCCCCCCCGGGACCCCCCACTTTAAGGGTAGTTTTTTGGGAGATGTTATAGAGCTTCGGGAGTGTAGCCCGCGCGCCGTTGCCTTTGGCTCAAGGCACGCGCGCCCTATTTGCCCGGACACTGCGAGTGTTCGCTATGTGCTGGAAAGATCACTACATCGATCTTATCGTATTTTATCCGTCCACTCCCCATACTGAACCAACACAGCATGGCATTGGACGCTATCTGCCACCCGCTTCCCATGGAATTTGATGCTATTTGACTTACCATAGTCACTTCAGACTCGGTAGCGGAGCTGGCCGCACTCTCGTGTGGTCAGCTCTTGCTCTTCTTATCCTCTCGCTATCCGGCACGATCTTCGTGACCAACTACCACCCTGCGCCGCCGCTCCAACTACATTCACGAGGATCAATCCAAAAGCAAGAAGCAACGCGAGAGTTACGACGTCTAGACAACAACATTGGTACCCCATATACGCTTCATCACTACGCTACTACCAACCGCTCGGCAACGAGCCAAAAGCGCAGTACTTGAAGCAGAGGCGGGGAGACCCGCAAGATAAAGCGCCTCGAAGACTTGACAAGGCGCTACCCCAGCGCGGCAACGCGCCTGATAACCACCCATATCTTCACAGCCTTGGGTTGGTTATCTTCGCCATCATATGGTTTGCGCTGGGGGCAGCAATCGGACACATGCGCCGAGGAGACAACAGCACAGATGGGCAAACACATGGCCCATACTGGGACCCTCAAGGCAACGTACCTTTTCCGCGAATACGTTTATGAGGTCAACGCGTGGCTTAACGTCACAAGCGGACGCATGACGCCACAGGCCCAAGCAGCCGCCATGCAACGCGGCCTTTTGTGGCCGAGCGAGGACACTCGCCATGAGGGTACCACCTGACATTATAAACTACGGTGCGGACATCGATGGTGTCCACACCGACCCAGTGACCTACATCATGTTCCTCTTAAGCATGAAGTTCGAACGCCTGGAAGATGAGCGCCAGCTCACTTCAGGCACACAGCTCATCGACTTTCATGTGCCTCACGGAAAACGAATCGATGTAACCCTCACTCGGTTCGAGATGGCCCGTCTTGAGGCACAGTCGGTGGGGCTTGACCTTCCCAACTTCCAACTGCTCACTGCTATCCTATTCCGCGCCCTCAGGCGTCGGCAACCAGCAAGCCATGCAACTCTTGCAGCCACTCAACCACCAAATCCCCCGAACACAACAATAGTATGATGAGTTGTGCGAGAGGATGCGTTCGATAGGCCATTTGTCAGAACGGTCCCCTGGTCACGTAGGATCAGTACTTGGAAGGGGAAGGGGAACTGGTAGTGGCAACTTCTATACTACCTTAACCATTGAAGCTCAGCCTGGCAACGGGCCCTCAAACATATGGGCCGGCGATCCTGGAGAGTCTACGGCCCTACTAGCAGGGGATCGGTCGCAACCAAGCTGGGCAACCGGCCCCCCTCCTAGAGAACCTCAACCACACCGTTCCCTATGGGGTGAAGCGAATCCCCTCAGCGACGGTGTATCCACCTACCTAGATAATGGCGGTTTCGACTCCGGCACCGACACCGACGCCATATCATCGCATGGTATCGAACCCCTAGATTGGTCAGATATCCTGCAAATGGAAGGTGGCAATCAGCGCGCCGAACACCTGTTCTGGTTATTACAACAGGCAAAGCGGAGGTGGAGGAGGTTCACACGAAAACCAGTGCGTCGTGTTAGAACGAGGATACGGAGGAGCTTCAAAGCGAAAGGTAAAGGCACATGAATGGACGAGGCATCTCGGCTTTCCTCCAGAGGCTTTCAGACGATCAGTATGATGAGATATTTTTCGGGGGGAAAGGCCTTGGAAAAGGCCGTAGAGATACCTCAGGCAAAGTTGAAGGTAGGCGGGGAAACCCGCGAGGTAGAGACGGCCATATCTTAAAGTGCCATGAGTGTGATAGTACCGATCATCTTGTAAAATACTGTCCAGCGAAGGGAAATGGAAAGGGCAGATCGACCGAAGTCCATTTCGGCTCAAGTGAACCAGTTATTGAATATCTGAGCCTCGAAGATTTTGAGGCCGTGGAACAGATGTTTTTCATTTGGGCCAGCAGCATGGACAACCTGGATGAGCTCGAGGCGTACGGCCGTGGACTGTCCGCGTACTACCCCGAGTACCTCCGCAGGTTCGTTCTCGGAAATATCGAGCTTACACCTGTGGAGCATGGAACGCTGGGAAACCAGCCCTTATCTTTCTTCGACTGGGTGTTCGGTGACCCAGGCAACATCATGGCCTACGAGAGCAGTGACGAGGATGTCACTGTTGAGGCCTCGCCTTCGGAGGTTGACCACAACCTTCGACATCAACCCGACCTTGTGCCTGGAAACAGGCCCACTCCAGCATATCCTCCAAATTATGCTGATCCGATGGAATTAGAGTCTCAAGCATTCACTGTGGGCGTGCCAGGGAACCCATGCATACCACCTGGCACGCTTGCGCCAGGCGAGTACGGACCGCACACGATATTGCAGACCCTTATGCAGATGCACGCTGTACTGGTCGTAGCATATCCCGAGTCAAGAAAGTGTCGAGAGTGGCCACGTGGTGCTACAAGACACCGATGCCTGTGACGACTCGGAGTTAGCGCTGGCGGCCCTCACCCTCATTGACAGCGTACACCCTGAGGACGTGCAGCGACGTGTGTGGCATTCCAGAGGGAGATGGCGCCAAGCCGTCGAAAGGGCCATCTCCCTGCGCGGTCAGACTCTCCCTCCGCCGGGACGGGGTCTCCAGGCGGTGGGATTACAGCCCAGCCACGCGGCCATGCGACATGTTATCGGGCAGCCTACGCATGACTATGATCAACACGAGGTGCGCGCTACGCTCGGTAACGAGCCTGAGTCGACTACCGTACCGCCGACTCCGGGACAGCCAAGCGATGCTCAGACGCTGGCACAGCAGGGAAACCTGCCCGTCCCGGCTGGACCGATGACCGTCGTCATCGGCAATCCTATGTCAGAAGATGAAGAGGGTGATGGATGTGGGATGTGCGAGGACGAGACCACCATCCTCATGATGGAAGTCAATGGTGAAGACGAGGAGGTGGATTTCAGCCCCGACAGTCCTGACGCACCACCACCTGCACAAGAGCCAATTGTGCCAGACTCCAGTCAGCAGGGAGACTTGCCTGCCCAAGATGCGCCGCCTGCGGCCCCGCAGGAGCCCCCGCCGGCTCCTGCTCAGGATGCGTCGGCGGCTCCATCTGATGGGCGTGCCAGGAGGTCTCGCTCGCATCCACGCCTTAGGGGCGACCCTCACCCTCAAGCACGGCTCCCACGCGAATGGGGGCAAGCAGGCCCATCAGAGCATGCCGCTCGACGAGGGGGTCAGTTGCTCGCCTACAACGACCCCGGGCGTCAAACGGGTGAGCATTCTGCTTTTGGAAAAGGCAGCCCAGCCTACAGAGATGCCCAGGGCAGGTCCATACGGGGTGGCCACCAGCTCGCGACGAACATTCGTCGTCCTGAGATAGAGGCAGTGCGGGCGCAGCTGCGGAATGTCATTGCGGCGCGCAAGCTATGCAGGCCCAACGCAGTCTGTGGGCCGTGCTCAGAGCCGTTCCAGGAGCACAGGCCTGGG